TTTTCCGGTAGTTCCGAGATCATTCCGTCTGTCCAAAACTATAGTTGCTTTGCGAATCCGGGGACGAGCAAACGTCCTCCCGTCATCCGTCGACAGCGAGAAACGCTCGACGTCAAAAGCAAAGCTCAGAGGCAATCATGAGCTTTCGAATGCAAAACAGCAGCTTTCGCCTAGCAGCACTCGGCACTTTTACATTTAAATGTAAACTCGCTGAGTGCGCGCCGCAGAGCCGCCCTCACCATATCCTCCCCCATCTGCCAGCAGACCCCTTCTCAACCCCCTTTGCGTCGCACCCCTATCTGCGTACCGTTTCCATCCGCCGCCGCCTCCTCCTCCTCCTCTTTCGAGGACGTAGGCGATATGGCGGAGGCGTCTGAATTTAATATTTTACACCTCAAATGTTGAGTGTGCGCGCGGTCGCGCGCGCGATCGAGCCAAATATGCAAAACAGCTCGTCGAGTAACCCTCGACCTTCCCCTACTCCCACACACACACACCTTCCTCCTCGTCCCTTCTCCCTTAGACATCGTCTATAACGATTGCTCTCCCCTTTCGGCTAGGATTCGATTTAAAACACGCTAATTTGTCGAGCCGCGGCTCGACGCGGCTCGACGCGGCTCGACGCGACGCGACGCGGTGCGGCTCGACGCGGTGCGACACACGACTTGTAAGTAAGTAGTATCTACATGAATTTCGTTCGCCCCTTCCCTCTTCTCTCGCGTGTCTCCGGTGATCCGTGTGACCATACTCCTTCTCTAGTCAAAGCTACAAAGTAGTTGCTGCAAGTTCTGTACCAAGGGGGTGCCCGCGTGTGCACATCTAAATTTAAAATCTACTTTGCATAATACCCGACCTCGTCGGTGCTCGTCGACCCCGGGACCGTCTAATTGCGGCCTCGTTCAAGCCCCGTTCCCCTTCGACACCTACGGCGGCCATTCTCGAAAAACCGGCATCTTCCGTCAGGTCGCGCCGGTTTCTCGTCGCTCGCATCCGCCACTTTAAATCGACCGAGATCAGATAACCAAACACCGTTACCCTCTCCTCTCACACTGATTTTTCGCCGACCGAGAATCGACCTCGAGTTTCTCGATACAACCGTGCGATTAGACACATTGACGCTCTTCCACTTCCGAATTTCAATCAACTATCCCGTGAAAGGATTTCTCGAGCCAGCGAGTTTGCCCACCCAGTTGCTTGGTGGAATCGATAGGTGCAACCATGATAGCGGTTCGTAGCGAGGTCACATCGTTCGGCCAGTTGCCGACAATTACTAATTGCCGGTGGTGTGGCACGATAACGAGACTAGCTCTTGATTGCTATGTGCGCATTGGTCGGCGCATGTGCGGGACCGTAGAAAGCTCGTCTAGATGCCGAAAGTCGATCGAAAGGAAACCCCTTTTCTACTCGTTCTTTCCTTCTTTCGAAGGATAATGACCCAAGTAATTCAACTTAACGTGACGATACAATGCCACAATGAAATATCGTGAAACGAGTCGCAATCGCGTCTATGAAACATTCTGATCCAACTAGTGGTTATTATTGCATTTGCACACGACGATAAGATTGTTTTTTTTCGGTTTCGTCGCACGAACGTGAATCTTGCAACCGAGAATCTTTAAATCGAACCGTCAGCCGTTCGGATGGAGTAGGTACAGACTACTCTATGCACGTGCGTATAGATTTTCATCCCTCGGTCGTTAATGACTCGGACAGTGAGTGACATCGAGAAAACTTTGTTTGTCTCGGTGATCGTCGTAGATTCGATCGCTCTGTATCGTGTTTAATGTAGTATTAAACGCAGCTAATGTGTCACCGATGTCGACTATCGCGTTCACAAATTTACTTCCCCGATTCCCACTCTCGTCCATCCGTCTCCCCTTGGAAAGAAGAGGATAAAGCACGAGCACGTGCCACCTCCCGTTTCTACGGAGAAATTCGAAAGTAATGCGATTCCTCCCGCTCTTGTCCTAGGAGCGGTCATCGGTCAGCTTTTGTTCGCAAGGAGAAAGGGACGAAAAGATGATTACCCTCGTATTCGTATGCTAAGTGGATTTGCTGATATAACCAACGATTTTCAGTAAACAAACTATTCGGTATAAACGTGACATTTCGAAAACTTTTCTACGTGACTCGCAAATATTTTCGCAAACTTGTTATGCCCGTCTTTGGCACGAAAACTCACCGTCTATACGACTAAAATCCCGCTGATACCGCCTAAACCAGGATTCTCGGGTGATCGACCGACACTTGTCCATGTTTTGCCAAGCAACGGGAAACCAGTGAACGTTACAACTTACGGAGGATCGGGGGACAAACGAATCGAACGTGTTTCAAAGAGTACGTGCCACTTACGGTCGTTACTGGCAGTTTCCTGCGATAACCCCACCATTATTCTCCTGGCCCCCGGAATAACAGGGGAAGAGAATTCACAATGGACCACAATGACGGAGCCAACATTACGAATTAGGTTCGGTTACGCGTTTATTGCCGATTCCGGTCTAGAACAGCGGCGTCGCGACGGATTTTCCGTCCAGTGCCGGTGAACGGACCAACCGAAGGGTCCATGTTCGCAAAAGGACGCCACTGCGGAGATGCGAAGTATTAGCATTGGTTAGCTTTATGGAGCGTTCAGTTCCGCCGGGAGGAGAGAGCGAACGCGGCAGATCAATAAAATCTGTCTGTCTGGAAAAGTAATGCCAAATCGACTGGCCGTTTTCAGTAGCGAGCAAATAAATGTGACAAAAGGAGTGGAACGGTTGCACGCTCCGACTCGCCCGTCGAGCTCGGACTTTTTAATCTTATACATGATATTTCGAAACTAATACCAGACATCCGAAGGAATATCTTGTTCGTAAAATGATCTGTTGCGAAGCGTCTTTATTTAAAAGAGCAGCGTTAAGTATGCACCTATCGTTTTCTCTCGTCTCGAGTTTGAAAATGCGGAAAACGAGCTGGAATTATTGTATAAAACTCTACGATACGTCGGACATCGATCGTTACGAAACTTTCCGTGGGGGAGGATCCAACGATCTGACGTCGGTGAGAAAATTTCATTTTTCACGGTTACGTGACTGGCAACACCGAGCGACAAAGGGAGCGAAATTGGAACGCAATAATTATTAATCAATTTCGTATTAATTGTTTTCTGGGCGTCGAGGCTTAAGTGGGATGTTGTGTTCTGGCTTCTGGCAAGCTCTGCCTTGTAACCAGCCAAAGTGTCATACAAGAAGATTAATTACGTTGCGCTACCTTTTATGTGACCCATGCGTGTGACTACCCTTCTCCGTACTCGTTGGGTACACGTAAAAGTGTTCCAACTCTTGGAGAGTTATCCAACAGACATAACGAAAGGGAAATTTATTTTTTAGGAAATATTGAAACTCGCAACGTTCGACGCTCTCTTTACTTTACCGAGTTCGCGTATCCGTTTATTCAAAAGCATAACTACTCTCTTTCTACGTAACAGCAACCAGTACAATTTTCACCGAGTCTAAGCTCGAAACGACGACATTTTCGTTTCATCGAACATGGATCTTCTCTCTTCTAGCTCCGTATACATTTTCCGCGAAACTCTATTTCGTAATTGCACACGGGAGGATGAAACAGAAAAAAAGGGGTACGCGAAAATAAAAGAGACCCAAGGGAATAAGATTTCGCCGGTACTCCGTTCCCGAGAACACGAAAGAGCCAAGTTAGTTTTATTTTACAATCCATCGGCTTCCACGCCACGGAGGGGTAAGTTTCGTCGTCGTCGTCGTCGTCGTCGTCGAAGACTGGTGCTCCAGTCCCAGGAAAAGAGAAACGTTCGATGGCGGTTCGAGTCCTTCAGGATGGTTGGCTGAGCGTCGGGCGAGTGCACGAGTTGCGACAGGGGTGGGGGACGGCTGTCAACTAGTGTTTTAAAAGTTTCCGACAGCCTACAAATTGGCTCGCTCAGTTCTTTTTAAAAGCACCTCCAACCAACCACGTCGCGTATTTCTCTCTGTTTCTGTCCTTGGTTGTACGGAGGTAGGTGCTACCACCAAAGCTTACGGAACTTTCCGCGAATATTATTCCAATTTCTATCTAAAAGCAACAAATTTGGTATAATCGTAGACCAGCGGCGTTAGCAACGGACTACGGATTTGAAACGAACCGTAAATTGTGTGCAGTGAACGGCATCCGGACACAGGTTTCTTCTCAAGTGTCTCAAAATGATCGTTATGCATTTATAAAAATATGTAACTGGTACGGCTCTATACGGCAAGATACATTATTGCGGAAGTGGTGTGTCGCAAAGTTGTGCTATCGGTTGCGCTGCTACGGCATTTTACTCGAACGCAAATGATCGCGGGGGCAACGCGGTGAAACGCCCCAAATGAATTGCGACGAGTGGATACTTCTATCGACTATTGTGCACTCGATCGTTATTCTCGAAAGTTTCGCGAAAAGTTTCGACCATTTTCGGACAAATCGAGCTCCATCCAGGAGACGGCGGCCTCCATATAGGAAATATGCTTGCGAGCGATTCAAATCCTGAAAGTTTAAAAGTATTTCGACGTTAAAACGGAGCCATTTCTCATGTTTTCTATGCAGCCACGCTTCACCGTGGGCGCATTTGATACACTCTATTAGTCGCACCCCCGGGCTGATTTATCGAGTCGCCTGCGTTATTATATGTACATACATTCTCCCCGTTACGAAACCGAGATTAATCGCGTTCTGGTAGTTCGCCCGCACTCCGCGCATGTTCCATTAGTCGAGAGTGATCAACGGTTATTACGCGGACTTAAGTTTCGAATATTTTCCAGAAACGAACAAGCTTCGCGAAACAGACAACTAAGAATAACAGAACGCTTACTAACGCGAAAAGAGAAATATCTACTACCGTAAATTAACAATACGACGTAAGCAATAGTAACGTTCGATCGGTGGTTGAGCTTTAGAGAGGACGGGGAGATGGAGGACCCAATGGATGGGTGATCTATAAATAAATATGCTAACGTTTGAAGACACCTAAATCATGCGTTCGTAGTTTATCTAGATAATTAGTTACGATTCGCTCGTTGATTATTGGCCTCCTTCGCACCGTGCGAAAAAAAAAAAAACAGGTACCGACGCGAAGCACAAACGAGTCTCTTCAAATTTGCGAGTTTCGTTTAACTACTTGGGTAGAATCGTGGATGGCCTTGGCGATTCGAACATCGACAAGTTTTGCGAAAGAAAAGACGGCGTCTTCGGGCCGTTATCATTGTTCGATTGTGCCGCGAACGTGGCTTCCCTCGTGGCGAAATCATGGCGATTCTGTTCTTCGTCGGACCATTCCTTTCGAGCGCCTTGCACCACCATCCAAATATACGCGCATACCACTAGATCGACAGAAACATGTAAAACGCTACTCGTTATTTCGTTCTACGTGTACCGTAACGCAGCTACATACATACATGTACATACCTACTGATATATCAGATCGCGACCGGCAAGAGCGATCCAGTCCAATCGTATCAATTAAAATGCACAGTCTGATAGGTAATTCCAATGTACTTACATAGATAGATGCTGGACACTGGAATGTACCATATTGATTTATCGTAAACATCGTATTGAGGCTCGTGCGTCAGATGAATAGACAGTGCTACAGCCTGATCTATTATGTTAAACATTTGCAAATACATCCAAGGCACGGCACACTTGGTCCTTCTCTGTGAACGTACGCGGAAGTTAGCGGAGATTGTTAGCGAGTTTCAGCGAGGTTGTTACGTGCCGAAAATACATACATATTCTCGAACGAAGAAGCCTTCGATCGATTCATTTTCGATACATGACTTTTTCGTTTACGTTCTAGTTGAACGTGATGTTTTCCAAAGTACATACATATTTCGAATCGATCGAACATGTCGGGCAACTGATCACATAAACTTAATATACTCACGGAGATAGATCCCAAGGCAAGATACGCGCTGGCCAATAAGAATGAAAGTGCGTACAAGAGGAGAAACACCACGGCCGCTTCCGCTACGAATTTCATGTTTTCTTTTTCTCTTTTTGTTCCTTCGTTGAAGAAATGTTTATATGTACAGGGTGTCGCAACATGCGTGGTACGAAATTGTAATCGTCGCGTCGTTAATTAAGTCCATGCAACGGATTCTCAACAATTGCTAGACACGTACGAATGGGGGAAAAAGAAATGGCCGCGTTTACAAGCTACGAAAATAACTGACTTTACGTTTATATTTCAATAATGAGTTAAAAGTAAGCTAAAAACAGGAGGATTAAGTAGGCAACAGTTTGTGCATCGAGACTGATACTTGGAAACTTGTTGATCAAGTACACATTTTCGAGAAGAATCTCCTTCTGTCAAGTTATACCACGTATTTTGAGACAGTCTGTACACACACGCTCGTTCGTTCGTTCGAAAACCCACCTTTCCTTTCTATTTGCGAATTTCTTAAGACCTGCATCCAATTCAAACCAAGGAGAGCCCAATTTTCAACGGAATCGAAGAATACGTTGTCCGTTACTCTTGAGAAATAGTTGCTCGTTAGCACGTTTATCATGAGTATCGAGAGCGACTGGAAGAATATGAAGGAAACACATTGGACGTGAAATTACATTAACGTTGATCGCTGGCAGGAACGAATGCGAATTATGAGCGAAAATCTCATGATATTCCGCGTAATCCTGCCACGTGCAACAAACCGGTTTAATGTTGTAATTACGTGTTGAATTCGTCACTCACCATGGTATATGTGCCGATGATCCTCGCGGCCAATGACAATCCGATACAGCATACCTTGTACATGGCGAATTGTGACCGCCTTGATGCGTTGAATCGGAAACACGAAATGCCAGAACGTCCTAGTAATCACGATTTTCGTTACTGCATCGACACTCGTTCGACCGATGCTCCGTTAAAAGTGTAAACAGAAACGTCCGCAAGTAAACAGATAAGTATTTAGAACCTCGATGTTACGGGTTCGCGCTGGATCGTTCACGAGCTTCGATTATCGAATATGTACCGCGATAAATTTTCGTTCGAGCGATCTTATCAATCGATCGCAATCGAACTAGCAATAATAACGCGCCGGTGTAGCATCGCTTTCTTTTATTATCCTACCTTATTTATGTCCTAACCGCGATCAGAAACATGTTTCTACGCTATTCGATTGCATGCGATAATATAAATTTCTGAACAAACAGTTTTTCTCGAATTTTTAATCGTTCGTTGAAAGCATCTAAGAAATAATAGCCTTGAAACCAGTCGCGCGCCACTGTCTGCGCATGCACAGTAGTTTATGTCAGTGGAGCATAAATGTGCGCTTGACATGTGCTTCTAGGTTAAGTTTCATATATTTTTCGAACGTTATTTTATGTTTTTTACGCGTGAAAATTGAGAAGACGGCTCGATAACAATGACTGTACAAGACACAAACATTTCTTTAAATATTTCTGCAGAACCTGTTGCCAAGAAGGTAAGTGAGAGGTAAGTGTGATATGCTTTTAAACAGTTACTTAAACGAGGTTAACCTCTTTTATGTAGAAACATGAAAACGAAGATGATTTTATACTTAGTTTAATGAAAGAGCGAAAAAATAAAACCGAAGAAAGTAAAGTTAGAAATAGCAATAAACCGAAACGTGATTTAGTTCGTGTAACTATCGGTACAAAGAAAAAGAGAGTTAAACAAAAATTATTGTCAACGATCGTCGCACAACGGTTGAAGGACACTGATAAATCCAACGTACTTGATCTTGTACAGAAGGAAAGAAAATTTCAAACACGACCCGTAGATACAGAGCGGAGAAAGTCCAAACAACCATTAGACAAAATACGTTTAAATGCAGATAAGACGGTTGTAGAAACGGATAAGACATTGGCAACTCAGCAAACTGAAATTTCCAATGACTCTGCTCTATCGTTTGTTAAATTTACGCGAGAGAACTTTGCCAAAACGTTATTAGCAAAGAAGAGAAATATTAAGAACGCGGACTCTAGGAAAACGCTACCTAATGTATTCTCTGAGCGAACAGAGTCTGAAAACGTACAAGTTAATTTGTTAAAGTCGCTTAAAAAAGTAGATACGGACGAAGATGTTGTACCAAGAAAAAAACCTAAACTCAAGGAATCTAATAAATCACCGTTAACAAAAGATTTTCGCGGTGAAAAGAATAAAAATTTTGTAGAAAAATCGATGAAATGTCATAGTAACGTACAAAACAGTAAAAGTACTCGTCTGCCTTTTAAGACCGGTGGTAAAATATCTTCCTTGTTTGGACATAATCCTAAAGTTCCAAATATTGGTCAACGATTTGTAAGACCGATAAGCGAACCGGTCTTTACGGAAACAACTTTTACCGACCTTAATATACATCCTTTCACGGTAAGTATTATTATCCGAATAATATTTAAAAATCGGTAACGTAATTGTAGTAATTTTTGAAAAAACTTTACCAGATATCCAACTTGAAACAGAATATGCAAATTGCTAAGATGACTATCGTTCAACAGAAAGCAATTCCTTGCATATTTTCAGGCAAAGATACTTTAATTAGATCTCAAACTGGATCTGGAAAAACGTTAGCATATGCTTTACCTATAGTTGAGTTTTTACACAATATTAGACCAAAACTGACCAGAAATAGCGGAGTAAAAGCTTTGGTAGTAATACCAACTAGAGAACTAGCTTTGCAAACGTACGAGTGTTTTTTGAAATTAATTAAAGTGAGCGGTTCTAAATAATATTTTCTAGTGGACGGATACTGATTGCGTATACGTATACTGATTGCTTTTCGTACAATTTTAGCCGTTTACGTGGATCGTGCCAGGGTATTTGGCAGGGGGTGAAAAGAGAAAAGCAGAGAAAGCTAGATTAAGAAAAGGTTGCAATATTTTAGTCGGTACACCGGGTAGATTGTTAGACCATATAAAACGAACAGCAGCTTTAAAACTTGGTCATGTTAAATACTTTGTTTTGGACGAGGCAGATAGAATGTTTGACATGGGGTATGAAAAAGATATATCAGGGTACGTTTTGTCGGAAATTGGGAAATGAAGAATAGATCGACCGTTTGATAAAGTATTGTTTTCTAACGTAATTTCAGTATAGCGAGCGCTTTAAAGTTGTCTACCCTAAACGAAAATTCGGAATACGACCCGATGAAAATACTTGAAGAGAACATAAAAAGGGTTTCTAATGACGGAAATGTCGCGCATATTGTAAACACCATTGATTCGAGGATAGGGGGAGAGAACGACGATGAGCAGAAAAATTGGAAACCTGAGGGCTGTGGAAAGAAAGAGGACGTTAAAGAAAGACAAAGACGACGATATCGCTTTAATAGCGACGAGGATTCCGAAGAAGAGAAACGATTCGTAAAATCGAAGGATTTCTCGAAATCCAACGAAAATAAAGTATCAAGTTCGGTAGAAAGTGATACTCGAGAGAAAGAAGGTGAAAATAAATTCAGAAGACAGACGATCTTACTTTCCGCGACTTTGACGCAAGCTGTAGAAAAATTAGCGGGTCTTGCGATGGAATGTCCTGTATTTGTGGATGCCGCGAATGAAAATTTGGAAACGACCGGCGACGACACAAACGGTCCAAACGAAGATTTCATAGTCCCCCAAAGTGTGATCCAAAGTTACATCGTTACGCCGGCAAAATTGAGGATGGTAACCTTGAGTGCTTATATCGCGGGAAAGTGTCAGGTAGATTCACTGTTGCGTACACGTACATATGTATATCGTTCATTATTGCCTTTCGTTTCAAGCTTCATGAATATCTCATTGGTAATATAAATTATCAGAGTCACGGGCAGCACAAACTTTTAGTATTTATGGCGACTCAAGACATGGTTGACTATCACGCGGAAATACTGTCGTCCGTGCTCATGAAACCGGTCGACGAAGATGACGACGATTCCGATCCTCTGGTCGATGTAGACTTTTACAAATTGCACGGTAACATGACTCAAAAGGAGCGAACGGATGTCTTCAAAACGTTCAGGCAAAGAAAAAGCGGTGTTCTCTTCTGTACGGTAAGTTTTTACCGCGTAATGTTTAAACCTGTAGGCATGTGACAATTGTTACGTGGTACGTTTAAGTATTATAGAATCGTGTAACGTTGTATGAAAGCGATGACACTGTTCTGCAAGAACAGGAATTAGTATAAAACGACGGTAAATGAATGAGAGGGCGGATAAAGAGAAGGATAAGACAGAAGAAAAGCCGGGAATAGCCGACGGCACTCCCTGAGCAGTAAATTACCCCGCGGCTTATTCTTTCAGGGCGGAATTTAATATCTCTGGACCCACGCTGTGTCCGGAGGTTAAAAATTATGTGCGCACACGAGGCCTTCGTAACGAGTATAATTACGATTGTTTGTCCGTTATGCGTCGGTCCCTTCTTTAATTCTTTTCTCTAGTTTTGAAATATCGAATAGCTCAACAGCAACGATATTTAGTTGTTACAATTGAGAATTTTCTATTGGAAAATGGCCTCGGTCCCGCAATAATACTCTGCGTAATTTCGAATTCTTGAACGCAATAATGATGCCGTTAACACGAAAGACAAGATGCGTTTCCTATTTGACGATAGTTGAAAGAAAAATGGCGTACCACCGACAGCACCACTTTTCTTTCTTTCGTTTACTGATTATACCATGTTCAAATTAATCGAACGGAAGATCAACTTTCGGATCTATCGTGACTCCGTGATAACTCTTTAATCATTGTAATTACCAGTGAAAGTGACCGTTTCGAATGGCTAATAAAGATCGATAAGAATTCGATAATAATATTTAATTAAATTCACTGTTATAAATTTTATTTATTTTTCTAACTGTTTATTTGAAAGACTGAACAGTGAGAAAAGCCGTGTGCATTTTACGGTATAAATTGTACAGATATTCTGTGGCATCGTTATTAATTTCCACGTTGAAAAGTTACGAGAGCCCCTGTGAACGGAATGTTACGCGGGTCTCTGCGGTGGTGAACCTAACCCAGATCCAAGGGATGATCTATAGCTCGAGTGAGATGTTTTGAGCGAACGATCCGTTCTCGATCTTCCTGGCGGCCGCGATTGCGGTCTCTCTTTCCTAAACGTTCGTCTGTCTTAATCGCTTCCATCGATCGCTCCTCGTCCCCGTTTTCGTTACATTATATCGCACCGGTGCGGTGGTGGCAAATACGCTGCTTGTTTATTCCGAAGACACGTAGGCGTCCCCTTTGGTTACTGGTTTCGCCTTATCGAATTATTTTTCTGTAAATCCTAATTGCAGTTAGTTATTTTTGCCGATCGATCATCGCGATTATGAAAAATATGCGATAACCATATGCGAATGTAACACGGAAAAATTTATAAATGATAAAGAAAGATGATATAAACGTTTTGACGTAAGGGACATTGTTACCGAAAAAAGGAAATATAATATAAACTTTGTCTACTCTTTCGGTGTTATAGAAAATTAATTCTAGAAGTTGTGTCCATTAGAAACGATATTGTATGTATGTACATCCTGCGTATTTTACAAATACGTTTCATGATAAAAAGTTGAGAATGATAGGAAATAAACCGGCATAACGAAACGATGAGTGGCGAGGCGAGGCGAGGCGACGCAACGCGACGTCGAATTGTTCGATATTTATTCCTCGCACCAGCGCAGCGCCTGGACTCTGCTGGCGTCGATAGACCGGCGTCGAATTAATTCGATAAAAAGACGTAAAAAAAAGAGGTGGACAGACGTATCCGTATCGTGCCGCGAAAGAATTTTCGGGACCACGAGACGCCGCCCCCCTACTGATGGTCCAGGATTAGTCCCAGAGCCGTCAAGCAGGGTCTCGACGCGCTCCGTTCGGTAAATCATTGGTTAACCGAACGCAAGGAAATCAGGCCCGTGTTCAAACGTTCGCCGTTGGGGTTCCACAGCGGGCGCTCACTGGGAGCCGCGCTCGCGCGCGCATTCACCTCTGTGCAAAACGAGAAACGAAGGCGGTTTGTAAGACATTTGTAGCAACGGATCGCACGGTCTCGAAAAAAAGGTGTTCGAGACAGAACATTCACGGATGGATTCACGTTTCGTCTTATTAGACCTTTCGATGGTGTGTACTTAGGTATGTATACACTATTTCATTCCTAAGCCGAATCTTGTTCTCTCTAGGATGTTGCGGCTCGCGGTTTGGATATGCCAAAAGTGGATTGCGTGATTCAGTACACCGCGCCAACTTCAACCAGGGATTATGTACATCGAATCGGTAGAACGGCGCGAGCCGGATTGTCTGGAGTAGCGACGATCTTTCTGGTACCGTCGGAAATCGAGTTTGTTCGAATGCTCGAGTCCAGACGCATCAGAATAAAACAGGAAAGCATGGACGATGTTTTAAATAAATTGCTGACACCTCGGTCCCAACACTCATCCGCCTATAATGCCGCGATCGCGCTGCAAAACGAGTTTGAGAATTTGCTGCTCCAAGAATCGAAGCTCCGGGCGAAGGCGTGTAAAGGTGAGTGAAACTTTTTAATGGATTCTACCGGGGATTCCGCCGCGCATGAAATAATGAAAAACGAAAAGCGTTGTATGTACGCGACCAAGGTGGTGGTTTAGGTAGAGGCGGTTTAAGAGAAAGTTGAATCAATTTTACGGTTTCTCGCTTAACGCGTTTCCGACCTCTAACAATTCGGCGAACACACAAAGTACTCGTGATGAGGGAGCACCTATTTCGATTCAGTTGGATCGGAACACAAGTGAGCCGACTTCAGGGTAGACTAAGCCAATTCCAACGGGCACCCTACTCGCATATAAAGTAACCCCATACGGTCGCGTTAGAGAGAGCCTTCTTCGCTCTGTCTCGGTTTTCGTTCGCCATTCAGCTATTTACATACTCTGTGGACGAGGAAGGATGATCTTGTTTGCCATGCCACGGTCGTTCTATTACGGCTGTTAGGGTGAGGAATTTATTTGCTGCAATAATAAATCCATTAGCCCACGATGATTCGTATTTTATTCGTGGGGAGTGTAATATTCACCGTTTCGCTCAACTATTCTAATCTTTCTGCCTTTCTACGACGGATTTTCTCTATTTTTCAAAATTTTACGGAGCAAGGAAAGAAACGGTAACGATCGACCAACAGCCACACGGTGTCTCACAGCGTTAGATCAACCTCGATGAACCGATCGATTCCAAAACGTAAAATAAAGACCATAAATCTTTCTAAGAGGTTTTTCAGTTTTGCAGTTGTCTCGCGTCAAGCGTAGCTTTACACGAAGGTTAGCTACGGTTTTTGAGCGCTTAGCCGCTTCAGATTTGAGTGACAGTACACAGTTAACCACTTGACCGTTCCTGTACGTGCTTCGAGTGATTGATAGATTAATTGTCGTCGACGATTCGACGCTGCACTTTCCACCGGAGAGAGGCTGGCTGGCTACCAGACATGGAGGGATAGGACCGGAGAGGGATAAGGAATGTTTTTCCATGCAACATAACACCCAACAAACTAAGAGATCCGAGAGATTGAAATTCTAAGAAAGAAAGTAAAGAAGATGGAAAAGAAAATCATTTTCCTACTGCTAAAAATATATTTCATCCTGATCGATGTAGCGGTTGAACAGCGTACGCGTATACGTACAAGTGGAAATATCGCTAATTCGTAACATTATCACCCCAATAGAGCAAAACAGCCCTGAATAGCGAGTACAATTCTATGGAACAACCCCCTAATCTCCAACCACTACCCTCGATCCAGCTCAGAAATTTATTTTCTCGGTCTCGTATACATGTCCACGTACACGTACACGTACACGTACACGTACACGTACACGTACATATACATATAGTCCTGGCTATATCCTTTTTGGCGTAACTTTCTGAAATGGTCGCCAAATAGTACAAATATTTGCAATCACGTTCGAATGCTAATACCGTTTTACGCGTATACCAATAAATCTTGTGCATTTGAAAGTATACAAATTATAATAAAATGAACGTTTAATCTTTATCGTTTTTCCACTGGAAACGAGTGGTTGAAACGTACTTACGTTGGGAGTTTGATCGAATCTAGTGTATATGTACTACTCGTACGCCTTTCGCAGAGGGTGGCAAACACAATCCAACCACTGAATGTGGCTTCCGCCAAAACCACTTACGCTTTGTGGCGAGAGACTCTTAACAATGCGATACAGGATACAAATACAATAAGACGCAGTTACATCACTTAGGAACAATGCCGGCTCCCCTCCTACCCCCCTACCCCCAATCTCCTCCCTCTCTCTCTCTACACACACACACACACACACACACAGCCCACTCTCTTCAATCCCCTACCATCGCTTCTCTGCCTTCTCAGCTAGATACCAACCCCGTGGGTGATTTATGTGCTAAATGGAGAAAAACATTTTTCTCCCTTTTCAACGCGCCGACACCGGTCTACGACAGAAAGATCTTTTCAAGTTTCTTATGTGCGGAAGAGACGGGTCTTGGTATAGAAGAGAAACGGAAATCAAGCCGGATATTATCAGGACGTAAGGTCTACCGCCTTTAATTATCAAAATTAAGGACGATCAAAAGTAACGTCGATCCTTTTCTGACCAACGTAATCGCTGTATAATTCCTAATGGAGGACAGCCACCTTTCCACCTAACGGAGATCGAATCGGAACCACCGTATACGAATCTTTTTTTCGAAATACCACCGGCGCGCATTTACGTTATAGTCTGTGCATTTTGCTGGCGCTTCCTACTTGCGATACATATGTATGTATATTGGAATATCGTATAGAGAATGGAGAGAAAAGTACCTGCTCGACGGTAGTTTTTCGCACGAAATGACAGCAATACTGGCACATGTCAAGTTCTCTCAGGATCGGTGAACCCCCGAGTTTCTCAGCCACGCGTGGAAGCTAGAGAAGTTAAGAGGGGATAACGGGCCGACTATTAGCCACAGCACTTGACTCGGCCCCCGTTAATGCCTCTTAATAGCTCACAGCGGGGCACACACCCCATAGAATCGCAATACGCGAACCCCCGTAGAACCTAATGGAAGCTCGATTAATAAGGGCGCGCTACACACGCAGTAGTCAATGATCACGTCCGAGTTACGACGCACGTGGGCGGGACGTATGCATTTTAGAAATGTATTCGACACCATTCCCATGATTCGTTGAATTTTCAGATTTTCGAGTTTCGAACGTCAGATAGTTTGCGCCTGTCCTATTCTGGGACTAGGATCGGCTGTGGCAAAACGAATCGATGATAAATAGTAAAATGTGAATGATTTTCAGCTTACACCTCCTGGATACGCTTCTACGCTAGTTACCCGCGGGATATGCGTGAGATTTTCAATCGGAAGGATCTTCATCTAGGGCATTTCGCCAAGAGCTTCGCATTAAGAGAAACTCCGCAACGAATCGACGGAATAAGCAAAAAAATATACGAAAAGAATATTTCGAAGCAGCAGCAGCAGCCACAGCACCGGCCACAGCCACAGCCACAGCCACAGCCACAGCCACAGCCACAGCAGCATACCAACAGACTTGCGAACGAACGGTAAGTATTACAACGTTTTTTGTTTAGTTAGACGGTACAGAATAATGGACCGAACACGACGATAGTTGAAATAAGGAGAAAAGACTGGAGCGATCGGGTGAAATAGGTGATCGGAGTGAGTCGACCGGTTGGTAGATAATCGCCAAGACGATCAAACTCGTCGGTATTAATGACGGATTCATGCGTGACTTGACTTATTAACCGCGATGCACCCAAATTTCCCCCTCTCGGTGTCTCTCCCTTTACGGTTCCTAACAAACGCAACCACGTGTATTAACAGAGAGTAGGCGCACACGTAACGAGAGGACAGCTCGTAGCTCCTAGAGAGGTTAGATACGTCAAAACTGTCGCTTTGTGTCATTCGTCATATACGACGAACGAGCGGACGTGGTGTACGGTGGCTGGCAGCCATAAGCCATACGGCTCTCGTCGTGCTCATCCTCGTTTATTCGCCGTCTCCCTCGGTTTCCCTTCGTTTCTCCTTCTATCTGACACAACAGTGATCGCGTTCTCTCCAAGTGTGTCTCCGTCTATCTCGTCGGGTATGCATTTCACATGGCATTCGGCTGGCTTCTACCCTTCTCCAGGCTTCTACTCTTCTCTCTCCGACACTCTCCGGCTCTCCGTTTCTCCTCCTCCGTCTCTCCATTGTTCATAATTATACAATACGGCTATTAAACAGACTGATGCGACCGCTACTTCCGGCTCTGGCTGCGCCATTTACGGAAACCACGGGACGAGCACGAGCCTCCCTCCCTCCACTCTCTACCTCTCTCTTATCCTCTCCCACTTTGTAGAAATCTCTCTCATACCGCTACTCTGATTTTCTCTTCATCGCCCGTTATCGTTCGGTGGTTCTCTATTCGTTATATGTATGTGTCGAGCCTTTCGCAGTTTATCCTGTTTCATGGAAAACCCAATTCTTTTCGGCGCAGCATCTCGTTTACTTAACATTTCTCCAATCGGACCCGTTCATCTCTGTTTCCTACGAACCAAGGACACTGTCACCGACAAGTTACAGTTACGAATCAGTCAATTATTCGATTCCGTTTCCGTACTATGACTCGACGATCAGCGGTATCACCCACCACCATTTTCATCACGCGTCGAACGTTTTTCTCGTGGCTGTCATTAAACATTAACTTGTTCGATGCGATTCGAATGGGCGTGCTGTCGATATACTGTACGGGAACCGACGGATACCCTCCACCGGGTGGTAGGGAGAGAGAGAGAGAGAGAGAGAGAGAGAGAGAGAGAGAGAGAGAGAGGGAGAGAACAAGTTCGTTTTAATGAGTGAAAGGCGGGCACCCGGTCCGACGATCCAATGGATCGAGAGAGGCCCAAGGTTTACGCCTTTGTGGATCTCATTACGCCCTACTCTGTGTGCGTTCTGTGCTTGCGCGTGGGTGTACGTGTGATTGCGACCGCCCTTGAACACGCGCAAACACCATTTTTTCCGCGATAGATTACGAGATACGGAAAGTTTGTTGGTTCGCGCGCTGGAGAACACATCTCTGGAAAGTTGTAGTAATCGTGTTATTTCATCGGCGATGATTAATCGTGCGATAGAAAACGACGCTGCAACGAACACCGAAATTCGGCAAGATAACTACCGTCGAAATTCTCGGTCGCGAGATCGACCCAGTCAGTCAGTCAGTCAGTCAGTCAGTCAGTCAGTCAGTCAGCAGGGGGGGTGTATCGCCGGTTTTCGAAGCGTGGCTAATTTTTTGTCGATTTTCGATTACCGCGCTCTGTCCTCGCCATATGTCGTTTACGTCGAATTACCGAAAATTGCGGGTTAGCCCTAATGCGACGATTAAGGACCGGACTCTGGGTTTTCAGAGCCGACGGGGTGCCAGCAAAGAAACCGAAGCATCCAGATGACGAGCCAAGGACGGGGTTGCTGAAGAAAGTCAGGATGCTCAACACCTCCGAGTACGGCAGCGGCCTCGAGCCCTCGAGGAAGCCAAAGAAATCCTGAGCGTCGCATTAACACCTCGGCTACCTAGTAAACAGAATGCGATTTCGTTACCGTCATTTCCATTTCTCCTCTAAATAGACACACCCTCCCTTTAACCGTACGGTTAACCAAAAAATCAGGTTAACTGATACACGACGTCTCCTATAGCAGTGACAACGTCAACATCAACATGGTTTTGTACATAATATTCAAATGTATTCGTACGAGTACTATTTTAAGGAACGAAATAAACAGCTATAATAACAGAACGTGTTGTATATCGGTTCGAAAGAATCGCTACCGAATTAAATTGTTCACGAAAGACGTTCAATTCCGTCGTTCAGGTCCGTTGAATTCTGTTACACAATGGAGACGCAAATAAGTGGCTACGTAGTGGATACATACGTCGGTGCGCGGACCAAGTGAGATTGGAGGTGGGGGCAAAAGTAAAGGAGGAAGAGGAATAAGGGCGGAAGGATATGATTAATACGGCAGCATTATTTTCAGATTTTTTGCACCACGATCCGCGAGCGCAAATTGCTTGCAAATAAAGGCGGCGTCGACTGCTGTCGCCGCTGGTAGGACAGCAAAGGAACGGCACACGGTAAGAGGGGGTGAATAAGGGAACGAGGGAGGAGGGAGGAGGGAGGAGGGAGGAGGGAGGAGGGAGGAAGGAGCGGAGGCCAAGAGCTCAGCCGGGCTTAATTTAATTTAATTATGCCTTCTTTCTTCGCTACCAACGCGCCGGAAGATAAATGGCGAACCCGGAATCACCTGAATTGCTTCTCTCGCCGGCCGCCATCGGTCGGTGTTACGAATTTGCGTGATAGATTTCGAGTTTCCATTAATCGGTCAACGTACTCGCTTGATCGTTTAACAGCAACGTCTTGGCATTTCTGCCAAATTTCACGGACCTATCGTTCCATACATATGAAAAGAAATTCGTGTGTTTCGACCTAATGAACGATTCCCATCCCTCGACGCTTGAATAAATGTGTCTTAGCTATCGTTTATTTCAGTTTTTTCTCTTTTAAATACAACGACTTGATTTGCCGCGGAACGATCGATCGTAAAAACTAAATAACGTGCTTCTGTTCGCGAGGAAATGGCAACCGTTCCATGACACGAAATATTTAATTAAATGCGACGCTGCACCTCCGTTTATAGCCGATGTATTTTCGATAGCCCATCCTGACAGCAATCTGCGAGAGGGCACATTAGACAGAATGGAGCAAAGAGTGCGATATTTAGTCGTAATGTGCATCGCAATTCGTCGTGGCTTAACATCAGTCATAGTCATCGCGAGCGTGCGCGCGGCTCGTAATGAACCGAACGATTAGGATATACCTATCCCGTTCGTTCGTTTGTTCGTTCGTTCGTTCGTTCGTTCGTTCGATCGTTCGTCGAGTAGGTTCCGTGGACGAAGAAATAATCATAGATTGCTTCGAACGAATTGGAAAGGAAAAGGAAGCCGCAGAAAGGGTAGATTTCTCGGTACCGGGGGATATGCGCAGCTTGACTCCGATTAACATTACAGAAACGGGCGAGAAAAGAAGCGCGGGACAGAAAAAGCGTCGACTGCGCGAGGATTGACCGTGCATCCTTCGTGGTGTTTCGCTTTTACGTACAAAAATATCAGTCCGAGACTAATGCGCGGCCAAAAAGAAGAAAAAAAAGGTAAGCAGATATAAAAGGAACTGATTATTCCGGACAATTGCCAATTTCCTGTCGGTTCACGATCTTTCTCGTAAAAAGTATTTACCCTCTTATCGAAACGATTAAAAAGCATCGCAATTCCTGATCGACGCTGCACAAAGTATCTATCAAGGTTATTTCATCGATGAGTGTTGAATAAATTTTATTCGAAATTAACATACGAAATAATTACTCGAAATTTCATTTCGATATATTATCGTTATAGCGTTATAGCGTTATCTGAGAATAGTATTACCGCGTATCGAAAGTGTATATGCATTACATTGTTGATTGTTTTATCGATTATCTCGAACGGTGAATAATTATCGTGAAAATTGTTTCACGAAACGATCGCGTATGAAAACCAAAGTAACCGTGAAATAAAATAACATGTAATTCGATGTAATAGTTGGCCAGTACGAAAACCCAATTATTGATTTAATTATTTTGATAACGGTGCAATTAATGTCTCTCTTGTCTGTTGAACGCGATTTATACCAGCAACGTCCTGCATTCCCTCTCCTGGAAACGATTAAACGAATTCTTTGGTCGTGGCAGCTAAGGGAACAACACTCTTTCGTTCACCTTCCAACCGTCGTGAGTGGACAAAGTCGAGTATACATATACATACACAGTATATGTATATAGAGTTGCAATATTTTACGACTGGTTTTTTAATCTGGCAGTCTCGAACCTACCAGAACCTTTCCTATGCTTCTACATACATATAATACATATAAAGTTGCCCGATCGTCGTGTATAGACTAAGAGACCGCGCATGTTTCGTTTCATTTTCTATTTATCCTAATGGAAAACTATCGTGATTTTTGTTAATAATTCTGCGTCGAACCAGTAGTCTACCTTTCAATAAGTCAAAGTACATTAAAATACAGAGTTGGACGTGTTGATTGTTTACGGACCGATTTTGACTATTATCGTCGACTTGGTGCGGAAGTAGCGAAATGATTTCCACGTTGAACGAAATCGTTTCTACCGCGCTATAGAAATAAGATAGCGACGATGATTGGTTCTAATTTTTTATTTCACGGCATGAGCGCGCAAACTAATAGGAATTGGTTCATCGTTTGCGGATAGCTGCGTAATAAAAAGGAGAAGGGACGCGTAAAAGCGGAAAAAATCGCGTAAGCGAAAAATTGCGAAAAATGCATTACGATGCACCGGTTGTACCGTTTCTACCATCGTTATGTTCAATTCATGGTAGATTTGCCGGTCGATAGGATTTCTCGTGCATTACCGCATTAGTGCGTTCCATCGCGATAAGTAACAAGCTGTAAACTGCTTTCCCCGACGTGATGCAGGACTGTGCGATTTTGTTGCTTGGTACAAACGATAATAGCGCGGCCGTTGTATAGCGGCAGTTACTTAACGTTCATTATAATTAACACGCTCGATGCCTTAACTTTCCCAGGAGGAAAGCGAGAATAATGTGCGTTTGTAATCGCCGACGCGTACGCGTTTAATTTTATCATTTCCTCGAGTCGTTAATATACGAAGAAGTAATTTAGAAAAATAGAATTCTGCGCGTAAGCAACTTAAGCGATGAACCTACTGTGAGTAACTGGCGCCACACCGCGCGCCGTTTTCCTATGAAATTTTAGTGTCGTAGTTATGTACCAACGATCAATTGAAAAGCAACTATGTAATCATATTGTAATCAGTTTGCGATCGCAATAATGAAAATATCAGTGATATTTTGTCGAGAAATCCTCTGGTGTAGTTTAATGAACGATCGCTTGTAGTAGCGGAAGCATGCATGGACTTGGTGAAAGCAACGGAATCCCATTTCCCGAATTCCGGGTGTCTTTGAGCTGAGGATCCGCTAGGTTGTTGCCGCTCCGCGTTCCGCAACAATTAACCGATGGCAATTAAGACGTCTAAATTAATTCGTTATAAACAAGCTAGATATTCCGTAGCGAACGAAGAGCACGTAATTGCTCGGGTTCTCACAAGCCGGTGCAGAAACGAGAGAATGAATCCTCGATGCGCGCACCTTCACCCGCGTTCCGCGCCTTCTACAATCTCACGCTTCTACATATACATACGTACGCACGCGATCTATTAACACGGACCCATCGTCGCCCTGTAATAGCAACAATTACTTTATTTTACCATCTTTCCGGTTCTCAAACGAGCACGAAGAGTAACCAACCAGGCGATTTCATTTCCTCGCATTCTAAATATGTATGTATCCGCATTTTGAAGAAGAAACCCGTCGCGAATACGACTTTCTTTTCTCCTTGCAACTGACTCTGTTGTTGACTGTTCAGGCGTGAATTAAACCCGCCTTCTGCGCATTTATCTGCTCGTGGAACAATGCCGCTGATTAGACGTGATCGTTCGTTCGGTATTTATGTATGTATGTATGTATGTATGTATGTATGTATGTATGTATGTCTGCCCGCAGGTAAACTCGACGTAACGATGGCCTTAATTTCACGATCAAGATCTAAGAAAATTATAAGTTACCGTTTCCTGGAACAGCTTCCCGTTGCTGCGTAATATGTACACCGAATTGCATCTGTAATTCAACCGTATGCGTATGTTTCTGCGTGTGTGCATTATTTACGCTTTACGTGCCCACAACGATCGCGCTTATTCGTTTCGCTCGCGTTTCTCTTCCGAATCCCCATTACAGAAAATAGAAATTGCTAATTACACGGATCAACGGAGAAAAAATATAATGAACCAATCAAGCGATGTAAATAGCGATAAGTATTGAAAGGATCAACAAAGGTAATAACGTATTTGCAGTAATCGGTTGCCGTTTCATCGGGTCGCGAACATATGTATGTATGTATAACTCGGTCCGCCTGGTGTATATAACAATTTCATTATTATTATTATTATTATATCCATTTCGATGTCCTCCTGATACAGCGGGTCTATACATATCTACGTATACGTTCGATAATAGTGTCCCATCGATTCTTATCGCTTACAGTATATGCTGTTTTTTATACCTTTTACGTCGCTTGTGCATCAACGGATTTCGCGGCTAGAAACTCAGTGTTGTAAGCATACGTTTTGCGAAATTTTATGTAACAATTTCGTCGGTGCGCAACTCGCATGGTAGTTTCCTGACGGCTGCGATAAAGCCGCAACGCCCACTAATTGTCGTTTTTCACGTCCGTTTCCTCGTTTTAAACCGTCCTACCTATCCGCCAGAGCGACATTTTAGCGCTAACGAGTAGTAGTTTAACGACACTTCTGGGACTTAATTGGCTTACCGGTGGCTTTATCGTGCCGACGACTACGCCTGCAACTTGTTCGCATTCGACGTTACTCTTAACTTTATCATTCCTTTCCGCGGATCTCAACGATTCGTACAGTCACAATCGATCCAAGATTAACGATCAACGTTACGGTAACCGAATAAACTGATAGTTGAATGAATGTTAAGATTTTGCTTAGGAGAAAATCTCTAATAAATTAGTGGCCTTATCGATGCAACTAGGA